CCATTATTTGAATTTATTTGTGCAAATTGTCAAAATGATACTGAAATACATAGAAGTATTTTATGCATTTGAAGATTTTTTTTTTAATTATAATATTTTTACAAAATCAAATGCTAGGTTTATTTTAGATGTGTTAAGGAAACTCAGCAATTGATTACACAATCATGTTAAGAACAAATACCGACATTTATGTACTACCTAAACATATGTAATTGCACCACAGATATCAGTCAATTACTAGATATCTATTTAAATCATTAAGAGGTTGTTGATGTTATCAAAGCATAGGGTCAAGACTTTTATAATTTAATAACTTTATTATGCTGTTTGAAGTATTCGATTTTCAACAATAACACAAGCATACAAATGCATATCTCAGAAAGTTTAGCAAAATCTGGTAAATATTTCAAGTGAACTGAAGATGTAAAGAAGTTCTAGTTGCATCAAATTTGTTTGAAAATATATAATCTAAGATAATTTCCTATTCCATGGTTTGTACAATTATTATTGAAAATAAAGCAGACTTACTTTTTAAAAATTAATCAGACTGATATTTTCTTTTGCCATAATTTGTAGTACAGTATCTAAAAATCGGATTAATGAATTCAGCTAGTTTTCTGAACCCTTGGAATTGAAAATGAAATAGAACCTAAGTTTGGGCAGTGTCATTATTACATAAATGAGAAGTAATTGTATTCAAAATAAAAAATACAATGTAGTGCACTCAGCTAATAAACTACTTTACAAAACATACAGGCAATATATTTTATTTATGAAGAGAATGGCATTGAAAAGCAATTAAACATTGTTACATTGCTATCAAGGATATTAAAATGTTATAGTGAAGGATTGTAGGCTTAGAACAATTACAGGCAGTCTATAATATATCGATTTACTTCCATTATTGGTGGTTGTGTGGAAACATGACAATAGTAATTTTATTATCAAATAGACACTAGGTATGAACTGCTTGTACTTGAGGGCCGTTTTATAAGATAATATTGAATTGATAAGTAATATTAAGTCATAAACAAAATCCCTTTCTATTATCAAAATAATACAATTTACATATTATTATAGGCACATTTAATTTTATCACGTAACAAAGCAAAGACAAATTCTGTTACCAAAATCTTATGTTTCAGTTTTTGTAATCCTAAAATATGAAAGCATCTCGTTATGAGTTGTACACTTTGCAGTTTGCAAGATATAAAAATTATTAGATTTTTCTAATTATTTTAGTTATTGTTTACCTATATATTTAATTCTTGGAAAGGACTTCAAACCTGTTGCGATCAGAATTTTACTACATTAAAAGACATTTACAACAGTATATCAACATTCTCATATTTACCATCATCATTTTCTTGAATTTTGTCAGTTGTAGCGGTGTTTCCTGTTTGTGTCATGCCCTTAGACAATTCGTCCATCTTGCCGTACACTGGTTCGTTACATCAATCATTAAAATCACAACACAAATTACAATAAACTAATAGAACACATACTGTACTATAACTCACAACGTAAAAAACTCAGTCTTTTTTGAAAATAACTAGTTTTATCCATTTCAAACACATTTTTGAAACTCTGTAGCAGTATCTACGAACCAAATTGAAGTCCGTCACACAAACCATAAACAAGAGACAGTAAAAAAAGTTACAAACGAACGAAACGAACGTTGAATGTTGCAAGCGTAAAGCGAATACTCGCTTGTTGAGATTTTGTTTGATAGCTACCTATTGGGATTTAAGAGACTGTAAATCTTTGAATCGACTAAGTACTTATTTGATACATATTCATGAACTGCTACACAAGTGTTTGCATTTATTTAGGACCTTTTTCATGCATAAATAAATATTAATTTGTTATTCTTCATTTTACCGATGTAATATTGGTATTGGGTTCAACTAGACTGAAAGAGAACATCATAATTTTATTTCATTTACATTTTTCATATCTAATCTGTGATTCAATTAGTATTTGTCGCAAGAAATTAGAGATAGTTTTGATAAGATAATTTATGTATTTGCATAATGATAAAACAATACAATGGGCTAGAACTATAGCAAATGAAACTCATACCTTGTTATTTTATACGTGTCACAAGTTTATTTTTTAAAAGAATCAGAATGGATCATTTTGGCCTCTCACACATTTTGCTTGAGCCAGATAAATATAATCCCGATACTTTGGACTTACTAGTCGATGAAGAAGCTAGAGAATATTGGCTCAACACTTGTGAAAAACTGACCGAGAAGTATGTAAATTTTGCACTCCTCAATAATGAAGACCCTACAGTGGAAATACGCGCACTTAAATTTAAAACTTGTTACGTAGAAGCACTAAAGGAGCTCAAAATTAATCCTCTGTAAGTACTTATTATGATTTTGAAATGGAAATCAATCATTGCACTGGTTATTTTCGATTTATAATAAATTTGTTTTAAAGTTAAGTAGCCAATATCAGGTTCAGTGGGTATCCTTAGAGGAGGATCACTATATAAAATTGGCTCCAGTTCAATATTGTTACTGGTAAGCTATAAATAAATAATGTACCTATCATTTTAATATATTGTGAAAGAGGGATTGTTTTAGAACCCTAATGGCATCTAGAAAATGTTTTGGTTCCAGTATTTGTTTTTGGACATGGACACACAACAGAACAATGGATACTTCTGCTATCTCTTCGAATATTTAGCAATCTCACATATAACTTCTCATCTTCATCTAATAATCTATTAATCCATAAAAAGAAATTTTGTATTGCTTCATTCTGCATTTCAGCATACAAGAGACTAATTTTACAATTAATGTGTTTTTTATTAATTTTAGTGCTCATGGGCAGTTGACCATACGATTACTTCTTGACATCAATGAAACATGCCTACGTTCACAGGGATTCTTTGATTTGTGGAAAAAACAAAAGAAGTATGAAAATGATAGTGCATTGGCCACATTAGCTACACGATTAGCTGAGTTAGATGCTCTGCCAGATGATCGACAGAGGTGGATAGAAATTATAAGAGGAGTGTTGGCTGGTAATTTCATATTTAATATTTAAGTCAAATACATAGACTAATATGCAAAAGAAAATTCTTCAGCTCCCCCTGGGTATAAGCCACATTCTTGATAAATGGTTATTCCTCTTGGATATTGTCCATTAGTAGACTGAATATCTCTGTATTCATTATTTTAGTAGAATGCAGCTGACAACTTGCCAAACAAAATAATATTTTTTATGAATAGCTTCTATTATAATGATACAATAATATATAATAATATAAAAATTCAAATATTATGTACTTACACAATACTGAGTAATAGAATTTAAGTGTGGGAGAGCTATGCTTCGGCACGAATGGGCCGGCTCGACCGGAGTGATACCACTTCCTCACAGAAGACTGACGTGAAACAATGCTTGCGTTGTGTTTCGTCACGTGACTGAGGTTATTGTAGGCCCAATTACCCCCCCTTCCCCAATCTCCAAATCCCCACCCATCCTCAGACTCCTATTCCCCAAAAGGCTGGTAACGCACTTGTAATGCCTCTGGTGTTCCAGGTGTCCGTAGGTGACACCGATTGCTTAACATTAGGTGATCTGTCTGTTTGTTTACCAGCTTATGTCATAAAAAAAATAAAAGCATAAATAGCTGGCAAGGGCTGCCATCTTAATTAATTCATTAAGTAAATTTTTTTAGGTAATATGTTTGACTGGGGAGCCCAGGCAGTAACCAGTATTTTAAATAGTGGACTGTATGAAGCACTAGAGAAAATTCAGAAAAGGCCATGGTTGTATGATGGCTTAGACAAATGGCTTGATAAGCTGGAGGTAAGACAAACCCATATTGGCATTAATATTGTGTTATGGGCATGATAATATAAAAAACATGAAAGACTGATATTGTTTAAAAATGCACTTCATTGTTACAGAAAACTGTTCACCATTGTGCTGCTGTGTTTGTTGATAATAGTGGGGTTGATATAGTTCTTGGTATTTTGCCATTTGTAAGAGCATTATTACTAAGAGGAACTGGAGTAATATTATGTGCCAATGAATGGCCAGCACTTAATGATGTTACCAATGTTGAATTAGAAGAGATTTTGCAGGGTGCTTCACATATTTGTCCCATAATCTCAGCTGCTCTATCCACAGGAGATTTAGTAGTAAGATCAAGTGGACAAAGAGGTCCATGTTTGGACCTTAGGACAATTAGTGTAGGTAAGTTGATGAACTTCAAATTTACATTAATACAACAAAAAAGAAAGTATATGTTGTAACTTTTTTTTATTTACAGGATTATGCACTGAAATGAAGGCTCGTGGGGTGGACTTAATTATTTTAGAAGGAATGGGCAGGGCCCTTCATACAAATTTAAATGCTCGCCTTGCTGTAGATTCATTAAAAATAGCAGTAGTAAAGAATACATGGTTAGCTCAGAGACTTGGTGGTCCACTTTTTTCTGTAATCTTTATTTATGAAGAAAAACCGAGTAAAATATAAACAATACTGATTACAATTGATTTTAATTGTGACTGTACCCAGTATTCATTTACATTTAGAATTTAAGCCATTGATCTTTTGACAACATTCTATATAATGATGTCTCCATAAATTGTGCATTCATATTTTTAGAATGCCCAATCTTCTTGTGTTGATGTTCTTATAGTAATTTTCGGAATATATTGAGTGTTATCTTGAAGTATGATTTTTATTTTTATAGATCCTAACAATTTTCTGCAGTTTTGTGCTCTTTTAAAGTAAGATGTTGACCTCGGTGTTTTAGCAATATCTACTGACGCACTGTAACATAAAGTAGGTGCGTTGTTAACCGCTTGCATGCCCGTATATGAGACACAATAAAGAAATATATTGTGTCTCGCGTGGATCCACGTTTAGATACACGACGGGTTAAAATAAGTTTGATCAGCGGTAGTGTCAATTTTTTAAATGTTAGATAAGAATTAGGTAACTAGGGATTTTATAAATTCCAAACCAAAATATTTTAACTTATATTGTTTTATTCAAATAAAATGACCCAGTTCATACATCTATACACTAAAGGGAGGGTCATGAAACTTCTCAACAATTCATTAAAAGTAGATGAATGCAAGAAAAGTTATCAATATTGTGTAAGTATTCACTGTAAAAGTTGCAGTATTGTAGGTACAACTGACAACATATATAAAAAAAGTGTTTCCTAAATGCTAAGAAATAATAATCTTTGATGAACTATAACACTTCCACCTTTACTACATCAGAAAGTGACATTCTACAGAAAATGCCTCTTAAAACAACAATCCAGTGATTCAAAATTCATAAAGTCAACAGTACATGGATAGGACTTCATCTTACATTTTAATGATGCTGCTCCTAATGTCGCTTAGGATCTATTCAGCCAAGCAATAACTTTAAATAACAAGTATGCTATACCAAAAGCATATGCAATTTTTTCTTTCTGTTGCCGCTGAAGTTGCTCTGCCTCTATTGACATTACACGGCGATTAAGTTTGACGATTTGACGCCGTAGATGTACCAACTCCTCAGAAGTAGACAAACCTTCACCATTTCCCATTGGTGGCGTTGGGTCTCTGAAAAATGAACCAGAATCATTTTACACACTAAAAATGTAGGAGCAGTTAGTTTAATGGCAAAACTAATAAGAACTATATAGCAGATATGAAAGTTCTTTCTTACCTCAATACCAAACGTGACTCAGTCATAGTGGACTCATTGAAATTATCAGGACGGGGAGTAGTAGAACGTGCCCCATCACCTTGAGACCTGAAGTTTCTTGAATTCCTTGGAGGAGAGTTAGTTGGCATGCCTTGAGGAAAGTCATCAGCAGATGGGAAGTAATGTTGGTCAAGTGTAATTACACGAGGTGGTGTGCTGACCCGAATCATACCTGGGTCTGTTGGTAGCACTGCATTATCCAGCTGGATTTCACGAGGTGGAGCTTTTGTACCTGTAAAAATTGTAATAGTATACATAAAATAACAATTCAGAGATTCTAAGATATTAGAAGACTGTTCTGCTACAAACTGCATGAATATTTAAACAAGTTTTCATTGAACAATATTAATTTACTAGTACAAATAATTTGCAAGATAGTTTTTCATCATCTCCATCTCTCAGAATCAATAGCATCTCCAGGGGGTCGCGTAGCTTTTATAGTGAAGTTGCAAAAGGTTGGTAAAGCTACAGCATTATAAAGAAACAATACCATTTATTAAGAATTTTTTTTTTCTCTTTGGCAACCGATTCTCCAATACGAAGTTGTCGAAAGAAAAATGTTAACCAAAAGACATACTTAATTATATTTTTAATGATCAAAAACTATCATTAAAACAAAAATTGAAATAAACTTATCGAGGACCATTAATGCAAAGGTTGCACTTGTTTTTCGTGGGAAACCTGAGTTTACAATATCTAATAACTTAGAAATCGCCTACCCACATTAAGTAGTGATTACCTTCTCCGTGGTAGAAGCGGCTTTGCTCAGCAGTGGGCATTTATAGGATGATGATGATATGTAATTACTCATCACACATGTTGTAATTGCACATCTTGATGACCTTATTAGCGTATTTTAATACATATATACCTTATTATAATTACCCTATTATAATACATATATACAAAACCCACAACAATACAAGGCAGTAATAAAATATTTAAATGTTTTTGGCATATACCCGATATTTTTTCAAAACTTGGTCATTAAAACATTCTATGGATATTTTCAGTTTAGGTTAAATTAAGTGTGACAACTGTATATTGAGTTCATAAGCACTAGATTTTTAACTATTTGTATCCCCTTACTTCATTTGCGATTTTTTAAAGAAAAGTAGCCTACGTTACTACTTAGTACATCAGCTACCGTCCAATAAAATCCCGTCAAAATCGGTCCAGTCATTTCAGAGATTAGCCAGTACAAACACACAGACAATTTTTTTTAAAAGAAGTGTTATTTTCGTGCACACCTTGAAATCTATTTCGTTTTCATCTCGCGGCAAAACAATTTGCAATAAGGAGTACTTTCGATATATAAAGTAAAAAAAGATTTTTGGTTTAAATAAAACATGGAAATATGCACATGCAACACGTGCCGACCAACGAGATCTACGTTTTCGAGAGTTACATGGCTTGATATTTTAATAATGTACTATGAATTGGTATGCATTTTCAAAGTTGTCTTTTTGCAATGGTTTACCAGTTATGTAGTAAAAAGGTAAAATGGTTTACCAACATGTAGTAAAAAGCGGTTATTTAATTGTTATAAACAGACACCCCAATCAATAATTAAATTAAATTGATTGTAAAATCAGTACCTTATTTGAGAAAACAAATTGAATTATAGAGCCATAATATTCAGTGATATATTCTAAGTAGAGCAATAATAATAATAATAATAATTTAATTAGTATTTAAACTGTCAAACACCAAGCGGTCACCGGTGACCGCAACCTATTGTTCTATAATTGTGTCTGTATTGACGGTACTCGACGAGTTAAATAATGCAAGTGATGATTCTGGCATCAAAATATCTAGTCTAGGTTAATTACAGTAGTAATTAACCTAGACTAGATAATAGTTATAGATAATAGACTAGTTAATTACAGTAGTAATAAACTGACTGCACGGTTGGTGCGGTGGCTGGGCAACCGGCTGCCGTGCAACGTGTCGCGGGTTCGATTCCCGCACGGAACAACACTTTGTGTGATCCACAAATTGTTGTTTCGGGTCTGGGTGTCATGTGTATGTGAACTTGTATGTTTGTAAACGCACCCACGACACAGGGTGGGGACACTAGGATTTTCTCCTGTGTACAACAAAGTTTTTAAAAAAAAAAAAAAAAAAAACAAAGTGAAACGGAGAATGATCAAACAACACATACCAACATGTTGATCCTGTCCCACTACAAGTATCCTTTCAGGTACTTTCATGTCAAACTTTTCATTTGCATAGTCCCAGCCCGACACTATTCCATTAGGAGCACTATCTTCATCTACTATGTCACCAGTAGCCTAAAACACATAATGTTGAATATAATAATATAATAATAATATACAAATATAAAAATAAGAATATTACAAAATATACTTGCGTGATTTAGGGGTCATTTTCTTACAATTGTAATTATTTTTGTTATGATTATGATTAGGTACTGCACCATTTTCAGTGAATAGTACAATAATAGATTAAAAGTTCTGTTATGGACATTTCATTATACTAAAATTAAGGAAATTATTAGCAGTTACCTTAATTCTTTGCGGTACAGTCATATGGTGGCTGATAAGCCGTGCATAGGCTTCGTCAGATGTGTACTGCATCGTGGCGGTGTAAGCCTGATAGGAAAAAAGTAATTAAAAAGGCTTTAAGGAAAATTTAAATCTTTAATAACAATTTGTGGAATTGTGAATATTCAGTGATCGAATAAGACGGCACAAAAAAAGAAAAGAAATAATATGAACCTTTTTCCAAAATAAAATAAACCTTTTATCAAAGTACATATCCTAACGAGCATTGTATATTTTGAAGATTGGATTAGTAATAAATGGGCGAAAGTTAATTGTGTATAAAGATGTATAATATACTATAAAGCTGCTATACTTACTGTTATTTATTTAATTTCAAACAGTTTATTCCATCTGGGTACCTTAAAATAATAAGACAATCGAAAATTACTCAGGCAGTCGCTAATCGGAATCGGAATTCGACAACTTTGACAATGACAATAAACCACTGACGTCTCCCGAACTGACATTTGACATCGTATTTGACATGATGACGTACCTACACCAAAATGTAATATTTGATTTGCTATTACTTTGTTTGCCCATGGTTTATAAAACTTTTTATTCGATGACTAAATTAGTCATTGGTTGTATTATGTTTTACAGACATAACATCACGCCTTTTATCCCCAAAGGAGTAGGCAGAGGTGTACATTGAAGGTGTAGCCACTGTATAATGTAAATACCAATTTTCACTATATATATTGATGTTATGATTCCCGTGTAATAGGGGGTGAGCCTATTGCCATATACCGGGCACAATTCCAGACACTGTGCTATTACTGAGATTTTTTTTAAAAACCCAGTAAGTAATAGTTTGCCCGACCCGGGCATCGAACCCGAGACCACGAGCCACCGAGGCAGTCCAATATGTTTTACAGATAACCGATTAACCCATATATATACTGGAATAGTTCATATTCATAGAAAAAAATCCATACTTATGGGTCAATAGATACCTAAATATTATTATTTTTTTATCAAGGAAAGTAAACACATAAATTAGCCAAAAATATAAATAAAAAATTATTAATATTTTTTGATTTGGTTGGCTCGTTATCGTTTGAGAGCGCGGAGCGCTTGGACCAATATTAATATTACACACAAATATTAAAAAACAAGTAAAACAATTACAATTTAAAGAAAACAAAGAGAATTTCTGTCAAATGGACATTATGAACAACACTATACGCCGTGTCTATCTGTCATTGGTGGTTGTGTTGTCTCATTTGAGGATGAGAATTATTATACGAAATCTATGAAGTTTTCATATTTATTCATAAAGTATTAGGAAACCTGAAAAGTATGACCACTCGTAAAGTGTTTTGTAAATGTGGCACTTTTAGATAAATTATTTAAAACACATTTTAGTAGCGGTAGAAGTACATAAAACTTGTGCACAATGAGAGCCACCGGCTTAAGAATTTCGTTATTTATTGTAGCTTACGTTCTAGTTAGTTTGGTTTCAAGTGAGGATACTGCCAAGCCTTATGAAAAGAAATCGAAATCTGTTACAACGTTTGTCAGTGCAAAATGGGAAGCTACACCGATTGCACTGGAACTTGCCGAATACCTCGCTGGCGAAAGCACGGATTTATTTTGGTCTTTCTTTGATGGAATAAATTCGTTAAAATCTAGTCTTGATTCTCTTGGTAAGTCGGGGAGCAGTGTAATGTTCTTGATATTAATTGCTATTAGTTTTCATTTTTAGTAAAACTGTATAATATATGATGGTTTCTATTTAGTGGCTTGAACTTCATGTATTTTGAAATAGCTAAACACATTTAATTAAATGGTAATAAAATGTTGACTCATATTTTGTTAAATAGTCTATGAATCTATATAAATAAAAATGAATTTCTGTTCTGGAGAACTTCTAAAACTCGAGAACGGCTGAACTGATTTGGCTAATTTTGATCTTGATAGGTTCTAGGGAAGGTTTAAAAGGTGAGAAAAAACTTTTAGGCGGTACGAAGTTTGCCGGGTCAGCTAGTAATGATATATAATAATTACATTAAATAATTTGAATAACAAAATATATTAGAGCACAACTAAGTGACTTAGGTCACACTACAATATTGTTGTATAATTAATTTATATTAAAATACTCAATATAAAATTGTCACACATGTCTAATTTGTAATATTGAATTATTTGTAGAGACTGATAAACAGGTGTATGATGCCTGTATTGGAGTTGCTAGCACTTTGTTGGCCCCCGCACAGCTGCGGATGGCGAAACTGGCTCTCTCCATGCATCTCACATCCCCTACAGTCCGAATGTTTGATCAAATTGCTACACAAACCGGAGCTAAGGATGTTACATGTGATGCATTTGTATCAATAGCTTCAAGGAAAATTTGTGACAATGATGCTCTAAGAGATATTCTGAAGTCATACAACCAGTATGATGTGGTAAGTTACTTTATTCATATCTATTTAAATCCTATTACTTTTATTATTCCATTAATAGTATGTTATTAGTAATATGGTTTCTGGTAATCTTGTTACTAAAACACAAATCACCTTTACATTTTACGGGTCTATACATAGTACTATACAAAGTTACAAAAATGGTACTTGCCATTGTCAATTTGATTCATTAATTGTTTTAGAAATACATATATATTAACCTTGAAATGCTAACAATAAGTCCGGTCCACCTTAACATTTTATGTTCTTAATTTTAGCTTAATGGAATATTGATCATTGTATGTCCTAAGTAAGATCATCTAAACGACTATATTCCTAAACTAGCAGCCCGTCCCGGTTTCGCACGGGGTAGACAATTATTTATTTTTGTAAATTTGGATTGTTGTAGTGACATAACTACAATAGTTGGACATATGCTACCGCAGAGTTTTTTGTAGACATTATGATGTTCTTCAATATTGTTGTACATTATTTTGTTCTATCGCTAATAGTTTCGGCAGCGCATTCGAGGAAAGACTTCGGTTATATTGTTCGAATTTTACCAAGGATCCCTAATTTTTTTCAAAATGAAATGTAGCCTATGTCAAATTGGAAGAATGTAGCATCTATTGGTGAAATAATTTTTTAAATCTGCCCAGTACTTTTTAAGCCTATTCATTACAAACATACAAAAATAGGTACAAATCTTTCCTCTTTATAATATTAGTATAGATTAGTTGATACAAACCTACTCAATTGGTAATGTTCACATAAATGTGTTCAACACTTGTAAGACCTTGAGTGGTTCCACTGGTCTGGAAACAAAAACATACACAGTGTAGCATGACCAGCAGATGTTATTTAATTCATGTAACTTTTTATTAGGTTTATTATTTAAGTTACTTTTGATATCCAGATCATAAATTTATGTTGAATGTTTCATTTGACTAGTTTCAATGGTTTTGAAACCCAAAAGTTAGTTTTCTATCAGTGAAATAATTTCATTTTATTTAATCCTCGAAACTTGCAATCTTTGACTTTTGTAGTTATTAACACAATAAATCAATGTGAGGTTAAAAAATCTTGAATACACAGGATAAGGTGTAAATATGTAAAATATTTGTAATTTTAGGAAGAACACAAGCAAGAGACCTATTTACTGGACCATTCATATCCTAGTAGTGACAACAAAAGTCTAACTGCCATCTTGTATGGAGAGCTAGGAATGAAAGATTTTACAGCAAAACATAAGATACTGTCCACATATGCAGATTCTGGAGCTATCAACTATGTTGTGAGATGGAATGTTAAGGTAAGTCTATTTTGTAGTTACAACAGATTTATTTATTTATTCAAATTAACAGTTGCACCGGGTAAAAAATAATTACGTTAACTGGAACCACCACAAGATATTAATAATTTATTTAATTCAATATATTATCTAAATTACCTAATTTTATCCATGATAATTTCTTACAGCCACGGGGTAAGCCTAAGTTGCGTCTATCAGGTTATGGTGTTGAGTTGCAACTGAAGAGTACTGAGTACAAGAGTCAGGATGATTCAACACCCAAGGAGTCTGAAGATGGAGACTCAGGTACTCCACCTTCTGAGGAAGAAGATGAGAATGACCCTCAGAATCAAATTGATGGATTTAATTTTGGAAGACTCAAGTGAGGCTTATAATTTTTAATTTAAAGTAGGACATTTACTACTGCACTGTTATTTCGCTAAAGGGTATCAATTAATCTCATTCTGATATGTAAGTCTTTTGGTAAACTAAAACTCAAATAACAGGAGTAAGAACGATGTTTTTAGTCAATAAGAGTCTGACACTCTATCTTGCCTCACCCAAGGCGGAAGAAGTGATTCGAGTCACCCAACAAAAAAGGCCAACTTCCCAACTCCATAGTTAGGTACCAAGAATTTGTAAGATCCCATTGTGCTAACCTATTCCAATCTTATAAACATGTTATTGAACCTAAACTTTCCTTGTTTAAATATTTTAATTTAATACAGGAATTTGTTCCCCGGTTTACGTTCGCCACTGGAGCGCTTCCGTCGTCACTTGTCGGAGTCTAATGAGGAGCTGGCTCCTTTGAAAGTATGGCAGATGCAAGCATTGAGTATGCAAGCTGCAGTGGCCGTTGTCGATGCCAATGACGCGGGAGGTGACGAGTCGCTCAAAGTGTTGACTTCCATTGCACAAAACTTCCCCATGCAGGTAATCAAACATATTTTATATGAAAATACAAATCCAGCAACAGACAAGCTGAAACAACATTAATATTATTAAATTATTTTTTAAATAAGTCCTAGGCAGGAAATTAGAATCATAAGTTTGTTTGTTTCAGACTAAATCATTAATACACGTGAATGTCCCTCGTGCTTTCCGTGAAGAAGTATTGTATAACCAAGACATATGGGCGTCATCCCTGGGGCTTCGGCCAGCGGAACCTCTGTTGCTCGTGTCAGGGGCTCAGTACGACGCTGAGGAGGTCGATGTGATAGCTCTCTTAGCCGCTCTCAAGGAAGATATTGGACCTATGAATACTTTACATGCTCTTGGTAAGCTCGTGTATTTGAGGATTAATCCATTTCATGGAGTTCTTGACTACGACTATAATTTTCAAAATGAACTTTTAGATTTTATTTTTTTTTTAATTCTTAGGGCTCATCAAATTCATCTGGCAATTGCTCCGTAGGCTGCCCGCGACTAACGTTATTGTATCGGGTTCGGTTTTGAAAAAATTTCAGTAGTAGCACGGAGTCTGGAAATGCCCCCGGTTTATGATAATAGCCTCACCCCCTACTACATGGGACTCCATGACATAAATAATGAAAAGTGGGTGTTACATTGTACAGTATAAAGGGCGTGATGTTATGTTATCTTATGCGAGTTGAGCACTAAACCATTGCCGTGGCTGCACGCGCGCGGCTCGGCGGGCGAGCCGTTTGCGGGCTGCAATTTTTATTTCTTAGTTAATGGACGCTATCAATCAAATTGTTTTTTAGGTTTGTCTAAAAAGTTGATCA